CCGGTACATGCCACGAAGCCACCGCCCTGTTCAACCCCTGCTGAAGCTGCCTCGTGGTCCAGGACCGCGTCTGGTCGGGTGCTGAGTACCTCCAAGGTTGGAGACTCTGCAGCCTGCCTGGGCACTCTGTGCTAGGGCTTGACCTTCACGGTACAAAATTGTTTCCTGATGTTCAAAGGGAACCTCCTGTGTTCCAGTTCGTGCCCACTGCACCTTGTCCTGCCGCTGGGCACCACTGGGAAGAGCCGGGGTCTATCCTCTTTGCACCCTCCCTGCAGGTATTTCTATATATTAATAGGATCCCCCTAACCTTCCCCTGCTCCAGGCTGAGCAGACCCAGCTCTCACAGCCTCTCCTCGTAGGACAGATGCTCCAGTCCTTTCACCACCATCATGGGCCCTTGCTAGACTTGCCCCAGCAAGTCCATGCCTCGCCCGGGTGAGCCCAGGCTGGAGAGGACACGGTGACGCGGTCCCCCTGGTGCTCCCCTCCCCTGCTCTGCTGGCAGCGCTCCGCCCAGTGCAGCTCGGGCCGCTGGTGGCCTCTGCCGTGAGGACACATCCCTGGCTCCTGCTCAGACGGTGCCCAGTGGGATCCCAAGGTCCATCCCCGCAGAGCTGCCTTCCAGATGATGGCCCAGCCTGTGCTGGTACATTTCCTACCTGGGAACCAGGATCCCTCTCCCCTGAAAATACCCTGGGAGCATGGCTGGGCTGCGGGGCAGTGCTCACCCCCCCACCCCACATTAGGGCCCCGGTGCCCCAGGAGAATGTGACTCAGGGTGACTGATGGGTCTGGGAACCCCCATCCCGCTGCATCGCTGCTGCATCCCAGGGGGATGCTGGCCCTGCCCTGCAGAACTGGCCCACTTGGGTCCAGCTTCACCTCTCTCTGCCGAGGGGGAGCTGAGGAGGGGCTGGAAAGGGAAACAAGGAAGCAGAAAGAGCCACTGTGATTCCTCCAGTGCAGCTTGTGCTTCCAGAGCCAGCCTGGGGTTTATCCAGTTGCCTG